CCTGCTGTCCACTCACTCCTCGGGAAGCCATGGAACAAATGGATCTGCCCTCCAAGACTCCAGCAACAACATCTGATCTGATTTTGATTCTGATTCTGATGGACAGGCGCAAGCACGACACACAACACACGACAACAACCACACAATACGACAGGGCCAGGGTCTGGGACGGGGACGGGGACCAGGACGCGACTGGCAAGAGCGGCAATTCTTCACCGCAGGCGGTAAAGAGAGGCTGCTCCAGACCCATTCGTTCCTTCGCCTGCGCTGGCTTCCCTGACGAACGCGCAGCGGTTCCTTATTCCCACCTTCATCGCCAAGCACCAAATGCCCTGATCCAAGATGAATCCGAACCAGCAAGCCGCCCGCCCGCCCGCCCGAGCGATCCAGCAACGACACCACCGCCCACTGTCTATCATCCATCAGATGAGTGACATTGGCCGCCGTCACGTCCCCTGTGGACTTTGGGTTTGCGGCATCATGCTACGCTGAGACCCCTAGTGTGCCTAGCGTTCTTAGCATCCCAAGTGACGTGCTAACCCAGCCACAGCCACGCCCAATAGCAGATTTTTCCTCCTTGGACGTCAAGAAGTCCTACCTACCTGCCCATAGTGCTACCCAGTACGGATCCTCGCCGTGCCTCGCCGCTCGTCCCTTTGTTCTTACCCCAGAGTCCCGAGGACAAATCAGGTGGGGAACCCTTGGGCAAAGGAGGGAGCCGCTGCAAATCGGCTTCTCGTCATATCCGCCCTTCTTTGCCATATCGCGGCACCTGTTCCTGTTTCGGTTCCTGGCTTCTTCTTTGCCTCTCTCTTTGTTGACTGATTTGATATTCATCAGTGACGGAGAGTCGAGGCCTTGCCCTGCCACAAGTGCAACCACAACCGTCACAGGCCAGCCAGTCCAGAACACGGCTTTGGCCTTCACCGCTCCGTCCTTGTTTATCGGATTATGAGATGAGATTGCACCTCAGTCCCTGGTTTGCCGATATCTCGATCCCCAGCAAATCTCATGCCACCCACGCCCGCTTCTGTGTTGGTACCTGACTTGGTTGCGGCCAGCGTCATGACAAAGCACTACATGCAGACCTCCCCCAGAGCACACCATCCGTCCAACTCTTACGAGCCAACTATTGCGTACCTACGGATACCTTACACCACGAACCGCTCCTAATGCACCTGAAGCAGTAAGCCGCAGCGGCAGCAACCACCAGGGGGGGGGGGGACGGGGCCACTGAAAAACAGCATATCCCGATCAAAAACGTTCGTGCCCAGAGCCATGGGCTCTGCTAGTGTCCTTTTGGCAACCGCCATTTGCATAACCCGCTCCGCGTCACTGCATAAAACTACACCCTGTGACGGCATATCAATGCGACCGCCATACGTCAGATCATCCCCTATTTTCCTACCCAGCAGCGGCCAGCACCATCCCGCTAAACAATTTGGCTGCCTTTTGCTAGGTACTGCATGGTTGGGAATCTCGAATGTCAGTGCGGCGCCGTTGTCATGGCCGTGATCATGGCCGTGTCCGTGTTTGCGGGTGACCCAGTGTCGAACCTCGGAGCCCGCTCTGTTCATCCCGGAGCTCTTGCGCTGCCCCTAACGCATCTCCCTGCCCCCTCGTGCCACCACGTCACCCACCCGCCGCCGCCGCTCAGTTGCCCGTACCTTATGTCGATTATCCGTACCTACCTATCTGCGAGACGCTGTCGGAGAGCCGACATTCTGCAGTAAGTTTGGGTTGCAAGCCGAGTCCGAGCCCGACAGACCCTGCCGAAGCAGCTGGGCCCCGTCCGAAAGCGGCGGGGTCACGATACCACGATGAAGCGATTCAGGATCCAGACTTGACGACAACTGCCGTAGCTGAACACGGACGCCCCGTCAAGGGAGGGCAAGCGAACTGTTGTCATTTTGAACCAGTTCCAGTCTCGTCCAAAGGGTCCTGGGTTTTGAGGGGTCCAGATCCCCATGAGTTGCCACAGGCAAAGCCGCATCGGCTCCCAGGCCTCCGGGTCGATCCTAATCTCGCCGGCGTATGCCGCCGGGGCAAGGAACCTCAAAGGCTCACGATCTCTCAACCCCACATGGACCACCACGTTCCACAGCTAAGGGTAGTTTCATGAACTTCAAGATGGAGCACGCCAGCCAAGCTCCGACGAGCTCGTTTTCCCCCCCCTCTCCCCAATGCGCCTTTTGATGTGGTCGATTTCGGGGCACGCGACTTCCGTCTCTACCCAACCCAACTTACATCGGTACGGTTCGCTTACCTGAGCCTGTGGCTGAACACCAGTCGATGGCTTCGGTCAACAGACGTCCGACAAAAAGGGTCTATCGCCGCAAGCGGACATGACATGAAGCCACGAGGAAGCTCTTAGCGACTGATGGCTTGTTAGGCCTCAAGCCCGGCCACGCCTATCAGAGCGCCTGCCGGACTATGCTGGGCAATGCCAATTGTCCTGCCAGGCGGGATCACCATGGGACGTTGTCCGAGCGCTCCCCAACGAGGCTACCCAGCTTCCTTCATCTCCTCCATCGTCACCTCTTGGGACGGACCAGGCAAAACGGTGCCTCCATCTCGCACGCGCGGGAGCCGATCGTGCGCAAGCAGCGTCCCGCCTCACAGAATGCACTGCAGCAGAGAGCTTTTGCCAGCGACATCATTGCGACGACAACGACGAACGAACCTCACTGACTATCCGCGCGTGCTTTAGGTTGTCATGCACGCGACCCGAAAATCAGCTGCAGGTTATCCTTTTTCTTCTCCCAGCCCCACGCCATGCATGCTTCTTTTCAAAAAGTCAATGCCTCTGAGGGTCGGAAAAAATTCCTTCCCCGCCTCTGCTATGCAGACCACTGTTGGGACGTACCGGGGGCACCCAACCAGTCAAGCCCGCCCCGGTCCACTCCGACCGCAGACGCCGTCCGGCCCGGGGCCGAGTCCATGGTCACGGCGCCAAGGCCCCTCCGTGCGGCGGCAGGCTTCAGGTGAGAGTTGCATTGAAGCGCCAAAACATTGGGTGTGATGGCACTCAATAAGGAAACCTATGGAGACGGGTAAGAAAACCGCGAGGTCGGAGTTGTGCGTTGGCATGCCAGAGGTTCATTGGCGGCTTTGCCGAGCTGTGCATGCGTGCGTTTTTCAGCTCCAGCAAGCTGACGCCCCGATCACAACCTCAAACCATGTCTAATCTCCAAATCCACGGAGGGTATTTTGTCGCTCAGCCCTGAGCTGCACCATGCAACATTCCGCTTTCTTTCGATGCGCAGCCGTTCGAGCTGCGCAAGACGTGGTGTTCGCTCCGTTGTGCGAAGGAAATTGAGTCTCACTCACAGGTGTGTTTTGTTTCCTCGCGGCGGGCAGCGGATGAACGGGTCCCTTGGAAATCGTGAACGACAGACCGTTTCATTTCTTATTCTCCGTAGTAGTTGCCTATTCCCCTTTGACCGTGCGTCTGCCAAGCTCCGCCATGCATCGTATTCGAATTGAGGCAGCCCGAAAAGATCGCCACGTCGGACAGACATTTTCAGCCCTTTTTACGGGGTCGTCTACCCACTTCGTATTATCCCTCCTAGTTACCTAAGATCAGCAGTTTTTCTTTCTTTCGGGGTGTATGTAGGCTGCGGCTGCTTGCAACAGCCAACCTGTAGGCATGGATAGCCAACTCCGCCGCCCTGTTTTTTTTTTTTTTTTGCCCTTTGCTGCACAAAAGACAGGCGCGGGCATTGCTGGTTCTCCACACATGTCATCGGTGACCTCCGCCTGCCTACTCGCCGGCCCCTCCCCTCCCCTCGGCGACAGGCAAATACATATTCGTAGAGGAGTATGCGGCTGAGGTTTGATTGGGCCCTCCTTGCGGAATAGTCTTTGCTTTGCTGCAGTATTCGCGAGCCCGGAGCCTTGTTGCTCCTTCGCGGATTAGGTCAGATGGAAATCCTTCCGCATGGCTTGGAAATGAGCTGGACTTGCAGGAGGAACTTCTGCATGCTCTGCATCGTGCGTGTGATATTGGCATGGGTGCAGGATCAAAGCATATGCGGTATGATGTTCGATCTGATGTTTCTCGGGAGGTTGGTCAGGGTGAGACTGTCTGTGTGCGACAGGATTGTGCGCCTCCTCCCGCTCTGTGTTGATGGAATGATATTGTGTTACTGCGCTGCTGCTGCCAAGAAGATGATACTTAGTGTTCGAATCCGTAGCAAAATGTCAGCGTTCCATTCGAGATACATATCCAAGAAGCCACTGGGCATGACCTGAATCAGGGACTGCTGTTTTCCGAGGTTTGTGGTTGGCGTCCGTCAATAAATCTCGTCTCTTTCAGTGATCATGAGAAAGGATGACTGCACTCTCGCCTGCTTCATCCTGAAATTGACTGATATGGCAAAACAGCTGCCCCTGACCCTAGCAAGTTCGTCATGCTGAGTTCAACCTATAGCTGACATGAGGTGACAATATCCCATAAATATTCGTGATGGCTGAACAATAACGGGCTTGGTCAATAAATCAGTAATGTGGACACGAACAGACAGGGCTTCTTACAACGTATATCCCCCAGAGGGCAGAAGGTAGGCACTACAAGGCGAGACGGTAGGCTCATTCGACAAAACACTGTTATTCGTGAGTGAAGCATGGCTATTCGAGAAGGCAGACCCGGCTAGAGAAGATGATAGGATATTCTCAGATCTGCAGGTTGAGCATTCGGGTTGGCCCCAAACAGAAATTGTAACAAGGATTCCAGCTGCATCACACCGAAAGCAACAAAGTGTCATATCGTCAATATCATTCCTTAGTACCTGATCCATCCTTCCATGTCGTTCTAGTATGACCCATGCCCGATCGCCGGTTGTAGACTTTAGAGAACCAGACCTCGATGAAAATAACAAAGAAGAAAACATCAGCATGCTCTGATCAAACATCAATCCGTATACCAAAGATACCCTCGCCTTCTATGTCCGCGAATGGCGTTCAAGTGATGCTAGACATCATAAGAAGCCATTACCAGCTTACTCCTTGGCGATGATGACTGAAGAAAGAGTTAGCATCGCAGACTTGCCAATCGTACGAAAGGGGGAGATGACTTACCAGCAGATTGCTGAACGATCTGCGTGATCTGGGGAATCAGGGCCTGGTCAATGAACTGGCCCAGGTTGACCTGGCCAATGCCGTTGATGAGGCCGAGGTTGAGACCACCAAAGTTGAGGTTGGCCAGGTTCACATTGCCGAAGACGCCTTGCTGCTGGATGGCGAGGATGGTCGACAGCTGCTGAAGCTGGAGGAGGGCGTTGAGGTCAAAGTTCTGGGCGCCAAAGAGGTTCTGGAAAGCCAGGACGTTAAGGTTGTTGGCCTGGCCGAGCTGGCCGAGACCCTGGAGGTTGAGGCCGTTCAGGGCGAGGAGGTAGTTGAGGTCGAGGTTCCTGAAGCCCTGTAGGTTGTTCAACTGGGAGAGGTCCACGTTGGCGCGGGGCTCGTTAGTTGTGGGGGCGGCGGCGGCGAAGGCGGCGAAGGCCGAGACGAAGACGGTGGAGAAACGCATCTTGATGTTTGGTGGGTTGGGTACACGGGTTGAGTGTGGTTGATTAAAAGTTATTAATATCAAAGTGAGCACAGCTCTGAGTAGTTCCTTTAAGGAGTGATTTTGGCGGGCTTGAAAGGAGCGAAGTGAAAACACGAGCACAGCTGGTAACCAAGTTAGTCTTGAGGATCTCCGCGAGTGTAGACATATGCGATCTTACCTCTGTAGATAATGAATGAATGGGAATGAAGGAATCGGACCGGATGATTGACTTGATTGGGTGTGAGAGAATGGGGAAAAAGAACGCTTGATACGGCGGACACGGGGAAACATTATATACATGAAGATTATGAGGCGGCGATGCCAAGCTCATGGCACTTGCGCCATGCGCCGAGAGGGCATAGGAAGTTTGGACCGTTGCCAAGGACGATTAAGGTGAGATCTGCGCTCGGAAGAGTTGAGAAAGAGTCACCCGGTGCGTATCAGAAACCGAGTGTTGCTGGGACGGAAGAGTGTTGGATCAAACAAGTTGGCAGGGGAGGTTGAGGGCCAGGGGTCAGGAGATGCATGCATGGCAGGGGCAAAGTTTCTTCGGATGAGCCAAGCGAGAGAACGGCTGGGGTCGGGGATTTGAGATTGGGTATAGGAAAATCAAAGCCACCAAGATGAATTATGCGAGCGAACACACGCGTGTTTGTCTACAGAATAGCTCATCACCTTGCAGTATGCAGAATGATGTTACTGTTCGAGTGATCCGAAGGGTTGAGCCAGTAGGCTGGCACTCTTTTGGCCACGCCGGCCTCGCTGTTGTCCGAACCAAAGAAAAGGATGTTGGCGAGGGGATCAAGGGGAAGAAGGAATCATACCTGCACAGGTCACACGCCTCACTTGGCAGATAGCTGAGGCCCAAATAACCTTACTTGATGGGGCCTGCGGCTACTTGGCCGACATCAAACTTTAGGAGGGGGTTGGGTAAGTGCTCGAGGAAGAGCATCACGCCGGAAGCTGACGAGGCTTTGGGGAATCTCCAAGCCGGCAGATGGTCCTTCCAGTCTATCATTGTCCCGACCAAAGGCAATGGAACGATGTCAGGATCTGCGACTAGGAAATCGAGGAAGAGCTGCTTCCGTGGATTCGGCGAAAATGCCACCGCAGAACTAGGGCGGTGTCGACATCGGATGAGAAGAACCGTGGTCGATTGTCATCTTGTCGCTCCCGCCAGCTCCAACACACCCAGAGTTTCAAGCAAGAGCTGTTGCCGCTAACAGCCTGTTCGTTCCACCCGACCGACCTTGCACGATATGGCAACGTATCACCATGCTAACCCATGATCAACAATAAGAGGCAAAGATAGATCCGATGTTCACCAAGAGTCAGTCTAACAGCCAACAAAGGCAGCGAATTGCAGGATAGTTCTAAAAATCAAGCTTATCGTCTTTCACGGCCTCTGGCACCGCTGAAGAAAATGCCCAGGGTCAGCCTTGGTCCCCGAGATAATGCTCCACCCACGCTGGAGTAGGTTATCGCGCAAAGCTCCGAGTACGAGGGGGTCGCGAGAAAGAAAGAAAATGTTTGCTAGTTGGATTCAACGCGGCCTGTTGATGTGTGGTGGAATTAGGGTAACGCAAGGACGCTGCAGCCAGCTGCATGGCTATCCCAGCTAAGCGTATGGACTTGGGACGGTGCTGAGATGCCAGGAGTGTCATCCGAAGACTGAAGGGAACGATATGCAACTTGCGGTCGGATGACATAGGGCCGGATTCGAGCCCATTGCAACTCAAGTCTTCTGACAGCCATGGACGGGATGAAGTAGAGTAGAGTTGGTGCGTGAGTGACGGCGTCACATCGTCCTGATGGGCTGGCTGCCCAGCCGGCGAAGCGGCGTTCAGAAGGCTCGGGATGTCAGACCGAGACCGTGGCTTGTCAATTGCACCTTGGTGTTATAGGAGAGCAGGGCCGATGATTGGGTGTTTCCATCCAAGGAAGGACACTGGAGCAGATGAGCGATGGAGAAGACCCGTGGAGGGAACATGAGATGGGAGAGGAGAGGAGAGACGTGGACCCATGCAGCGGACGTCAGAGCGGCTCAACTAAGGTTTAGTGGCAAGGTTAGCCTCAGCAAGTGGAGCATCTGTCAACTTTTGGACCCCAAGGCGGCCCCTGCGTCCGATTCAGCGCCCCGCCATTGGTCCGTCGACCCCCGCATTCCGGTCGTCTCCTAGCGGCCCGGGCGCAAGTTGCAACGGTCTGCCACCGGGAACTGTCAGTTGCTGTCATGCCAGGCCCCTGTTCGCGTGCGATCTCCATCTACAAATGTCACAGGTGCCCGTCGATGAGGCACATGCACCTCTCAACGCATTGAGCGATTGATGATAGCGCGGCCTGCCCACGTCACCCTCTCCTCCAGCCCCTTCTTCCATCTCATGTCTTGACGGCTCGGCTCTTGGGCAATTCCGTGGAGATGAGGATGCATTCGCGTTTGGCCAATGCATTTCGCTACCAAACTTTGCTATCATTGAAGCCTCCAGAGGGAGGGAGGAGAGATGATATCACGCCGACAAGTAAGAGACTTGGATTATCTTATCCACTCCGACATCGTCTGTCCAGAGTAATCGGTCAAGTTCTCTTTACCATTGTATTCTTTGTGGTTTGAGGTAGAAGAGTGCAAAGGCAGACAGAATGTTGGAACTGGATGAAGGCTTCCACGATTCGATAGGAAGCAGAATGGTGCATGCATGTGGCATAAGTCAGTGGAAAAGTATTTCTTTACCTTTTGCACACGTGCTGTTCTTTGCGAAGTAGACAATAAGCTTAAAAGTTGTGATGGTGCCAAGAGTCCGGGCTTTTACCAGGATCCCTTGACTGAAACCACGAACCGCCCCCAGGATCAACAGGACTCGAGACAATTTTTCTTTCTTGATACGTCGAAGTCATAATATTTTGGTAGATGTATGTTTGTATAAAACACATTAAGTACATGCAGACCCCTGTCTTCCAAGACAGCCTTTTGGTAATGCACCGCGACCCAATCCGGATTCCTGAGGAACCCTTTTCCCAACTCTAAGCTCGTCGCCCCTGGCATGACCCGGGCCTCATAGCAACGGCACTTTATTGCTCCATATCAACACGCCATGCGGCGCTGGTATCCTCGAGTCATGCTTGTGCGAGGTTTCTGTGATGCGGCAGCAATTCTGGCGAAGTGCTCATTCACAACCAGACAGAAGGCAGGTCCACTGCGACTCGTCCAGTGATTGACAGCTTTGAGGGCTCATCTACTGCTTGCCGCCACTCATGCCTGAAATAGAGAGTTAGCGTCGTGAATACAACATCGAAATCTCAAGTTCACTCACCAATCTGGATGCCGTTGACGACAATGCCCTGCTGCATCAAGCCAACAAGCTGAACGGGCTGGATGAGACCAACGGAAGTCAGTTGAGCAAGTTGTTGGAGCTGAGCGAGCATGATGAGCTGCTGCTGGGCCTGGAGCTGAGCGAGAGCGTTGACGTTGACAACATTGTTGAGACCCATGGCGGCCAGGAGAAGCTGGATGTTCTGAAGGACCTGAGCATTATTGTTGTTGTTGTTCTTGTTGTTGTTGTTGTTGTTGCCTCGGTTGTTGCCCCTCTGAGCCTCCTTCTGGGCCTCCTCGGCCTTCTTTGCTGCCTCCTTAGCAGCATCCTTCTGGGCCTTCTCGGCCTCCTGCTTGGCCTTGTCAGCCTTGGCAGCGTCCTCCTTCTGCTTAGCGGCCTCCTCCTGGGCCTTCTTGGCGGCTTCTTCTTGCGCCTTCTTGGCCGCCTCCTCTTCGGCCTTCTTCTTCTCCTCCTCGGCGGCAGCGTCGCCACCCGCAGCGGGAGGCGCAGCAGCAGGAGGAGTAGTAGCCTGAGGAGGAGCAGCTTCAGCAGGAGGAGCAGAGGCCTTGGGAGCCTCAGCAGCAGGTGCCTCAGCAGCGGGAGCAGCGGGAGCGGCAGGGGCAGCAGGAGCGGCAGGGGCAGCAGGAGCGGCAGGAGCAGCGGCCTCCTCGCGGATGGCAACACCCCGAGCATCCAGCTTGGGAATGCTCAGACCCGACACCAGGCCGGTGGCAATGAGAAGAATCATGGAAGACCTCATTTTGAAAAGACTGTTGAGAATGGAAGAACGAGAAACTGTCTCGTCAGATCAGGTCTTCGGAGTTAACGGATAGGGGCGACTTACGGTGGGTATCAAGGAACGACGGAGAAGCGTGGAATGAATGAAAACAGAGCACAGCTGCTTGAGATTAGTCGTCAAACTCTGTTCGCCGGGGAGAAGCTGCTTACCTCTTGAGAGAATAGAATAGAAAGATGGGGTAAAGACACTGTCCTGAAGAGAAGGGATGAAGAACAAAAAACCATCTCATTGAGAAAGACGATGGCTATTTAAGTTCTGCTTGTTCTGGACAAGACATTAAGCATAAGTTCTCGAGTGGAGCTCATCCGTTATCGAGTAACCTCTCACGGACCAAACATGGCGCTTCAGATGGCATCCATCAGGCCCATGAGACATTCCATCAGGATCACCAGTTTGCGTAACGTGCCAATGGGCTGTGGCGTCTACCTCCCAACTCTCGAAGCAGCATCCGTCCCCACAAAGCAGGGCGGAAGAAGATGGGTTGAGTAAAGCCGGTCTCAGTCGTCCCCGTCAAGAAACAGATGGCACCCGTCAACCTAACTCCCGGCCGCTCCCCCAGCTCCAGTCGTTGCTCACGATTCGTCGCTCGGCTGTTTCGACTCATCTGAGCCGTTCTTGGCGGCTGGGACATCAGACCGCTTGCACTCCCAGCAGTATTTCTCCGCGCGATGAGCTAAAGTCAACCTTGATATCCATAATGTTATTGACGACCCTGGTCGTCGGGTCTGCTCGACGATGGCTGCGCTCAGCATGCCAAGGCGTGCATCAGGGGCACCCTGTGTCAGAGAATGTTAGCAGATGTTAGAGGTTAGTGCGGTGACATGCTGCGGGTCTTAGCAGCAGAGATCGCTACCCAAGTCCTTCTGACGTCTCATCCTCCACGATCGCCCGGACTACCACGGAAGACACTGGTGCCGCGAAAAATTCGAAAATCACGACTGAGAAAACCAGATTGCAGCTGGCTGCATTGTTCACATCTCTTCTCGCGCTTCCCGGGAGATCATGCGCGATCAGGTCCACGGCAGTTGAAAATAGCGACGTGAACAGGAAGATGGCGTCTAGAGCAAACGGGGGATCCTTGAAGATGTGCACCGATCATGAAATGCCTGGAAAACACGCAGAATGGCTGTCGACGGAGACTGTAGAGTTTTCAGAGAAGGCAGCACAACCGTATTCGTAGGCCAACATGTCTAATGCTGCCGACCTCGATTTTGGGTTTGCGATCCGTCGGATTGCAGGCCCTTGCTTCACAAGGATCGAAGACCCGATGTGACGTGCTGCAAGGGCGGACTGCATCTGCGTTTCAGGAACAATTGTTGGAAATAACCTTGATTTAAGGACGAGTGCTTACTTAAACTTGGCGAGGCTCGACCAACGCCTTCGGAGGGAATGTCTATTTGGTGCATATTTGTATGCGCTTGCGGCTCGAGGTGGCCCGGCATGGCACAGTAGTCCCGAATTCGGGCAGCACTTGAAGGTCGACGTCTCATTGACGCGATGCACGTGTGAACTAAGAGATGACACACGACTGAAGCGATGTGAAAAAGAAGAGAAACAAGAGAGAAGATGCCATTGGCTTGTCTTTCATCAAGTGACCGTTCATTAGGATATGTTTTGCCTAGTTGCTTGCACAAACTAGAGTAGACGGCGAAGCTCCGGTTGTACCTGGGACAGGCTCTGGCGTCCCGCGCACTTTGAATCTGGCGTTGTAAATCAACGTCGAAGCATTGAAAAACACAGAGTTAGAAAAGGGCCGCGACCACTTATGGCAACGATCTTGATGAATGGAGGAAGAATCGGATGTGTCATTTCGGACGGTCCAGTGTTCGTCCTACACCACTAGGTTTCTCCATCGACGACCGCTCGTCATAGAGTCGCTCCCCTCGCGCAGATTGATGACCTCGAGTTAACCAACGTTGTACGAGCGACGCCTCATCTTGCCATGAGCAATGTAATCAGGCTGCCCTCCCGTGCTCTTGTTCACGAGCACGTGGTTGGGTTGATCACCACAATGCTACCAGCCGGTCTCATGCACTTTGCAGACCCGAGCTGGAGGCTGCTTTGTGTGTGATTCGTCCATTCCTCGACAGCCCGGAGAAGTTATGCCGCATCGCGTCGTTGAATAAAAATGGTATCTTTGATTGTACAAGTATCATATGTCGTCACCTTGAGGCCTTTGGTGTCTCTTTGCTCGGTCCGTGGAATCCCAACCACTCCCCCAGTATGCCACCCGGCTTTGGTACTGGGCACTCCCTCCGCAAGCGCTCCTCTCTCAGTCGTAATGTCTCTTCATCGCCGACTTGGTCAAAGTTGACGATGCCGTCCTTGATCTCGGGGGTCTCGCGACGCTTCCGCCTCCTCCGGCGACCGTCCTCTCCAATCATGATGTCGCCATCGGCGTAAGTGACTCTGGGTGCCGGGCAGGGTAGCAGATGCGGCAGTCCGACGACGAAGAAGCTGGCAACGACTGTGGTTGCGAAGAGGGATGAGGTCATTCGCGACCGCGGATGGAGGGGGTGTGGTGGCATGATCGCGTCTTTTTCTTGTTCGGAAAGGAGGGCCGATGGCTTGTCTGGTGCAATTGGCAGTCAGCAACCCAGGATTTGGCATAATCGAGTCAATCACGAAGATGTGCTCACCTATCGCCGTACCATGCTCGCTGAGAGGGGCAGATAATCCGGGCAGAGTCCGCTGAAGAAGGCGGGAACCTTGGAAGTGGTGTGGATTATTGCCTGCGCTCTGAATTTCTCGCAACCGGCCCGTGAGTGAAGCTCACGCTAATGGTCGGATTGCAATTCAGGCCACATGATTGGATTCCGGCGTACTGGAGTGGGGCCAAAAAGTGCCATGACCTGCCAACGGCTCTTGCCTGAGGATCTGGTCTTCGGGGGCCGTGAAAACAGAATTTCCGAGCTGAAGTTTCGTTCCTTCAAGTCCCGGGTGTCGCCTGGGGTTGGGAACGTAGCGACAGGGATGGCGCTGTACCCACTACATGCTTCCTCGCAGATCCACCCCGGCGCGGGTCGTGGGTGTAGGTGGGCTCTTTCACTGATATATGATAAGAATTAGCGCGGTTAGGGGCACAGCGCGACCTACCGCCGAAGCCAACAGTAAAGCAGTTCCTTGCACGTCTCCTGCCGTTGACGCCATGCTAAATCTGCCTTGATCGCGACGCAAATAATTTGCCGACTCGACCGGGGAAAAGCGACGCGCCCGAATCGCAACAACAACATCTTTCCTACGACTTTGCGACGTATTACGAATATCTCATAAACCTCTTTGACCAACGATCGCGACTCGCCGGCCTCGGTCGCCGCCACAACACCGACCAGAGCGCCCCTCCGAGATCATCGCTATGAGCGACCTCGATAAGTGAGCAAAACCGCGGCTTAGATCGGTCAAGAGCTTGTCATGTGCTAATTCTCAATCCAGAGCTATCGCGCAATTGCGTGCCTGCCGCCCAATCCCCGAGGCGCAAGTCCGCGAGCTGTGCCACAAGGCACGCGAGCTTCTCATTGAAGAAGGCAATGTCGTCACAGTCACGGCTCCCGTAACGGTACGCCTCCGTCAGACTACCATGCCAACATCGGACTGGCGTTAATGTATCTCTTTCCAGATATGCGGTGACATTCACGGCCAATTCCATGACTTGATGGAGCTCTTCCGCGTCGGCGGCGACGTACCGGATACCAACTACCTTTTCATGGGTGCGTCACCGCTATTCCATCCCAATCTTGACCCGGTATGCGGTATGCTGACATTACCTTCGACGTCTAGGTGACTTTGTAGACCGCGGCTTCTACTCCCTCGAATCCTTTCTCCTGCTTCTGTGCTTAAAGGTTCGCTACCCCGACCGGATGACCCTTATTCGAGGCAACCACGAGTCCCGCCAGATCACAACCGTATACGGCTTCTACGACGAATGCTTACGCAAGTACGGCTCCGCAAATGTATGGCGGTATTGCTGCGACGTATTCGACTACCTCGCGCTTGGCGCCATCGTTCTCGGCGCATCACATACCTTTAATTCTACCCCGGGCCAAGAGCCCGTCGGCGACGACATCGAGATTCAAGTCTGCGATCAGAGTGGCTCGACCATGAGTCGATTCCCCCGCCAACGAAGGCCACAGAGACAGCCGACTCCCAGCAGCCCCAATGGTGCACCTTCATCGTCCGGCGGCGACAAGACTGGCCCTCCAGGTTCTGGCGCATCGGGAAGTTCGTCGGGGTCACTCGGCAACCCTGCAGGAGCTATTCTTTGCGTCCACGGAGGTCTCTCCCCTCTCATTGACAGTGTCGATAAGATCAGGCTTCTGGACCGGAAGCAAGAAGTACCCCACGAGGGTGCCATGTGTGACCTGTTGTGGTCAGACCCAGACGACATCGATGGCTGGGGTCTATCACCTCGTGGTGCAGGATTCTTATTTGGAGCTGACATTGTCCGAGACTTCAACCATAAGAACGATCTTTCACTCATTGCCCGCGCCCATCAGCTGGTAATGGAAGGCTTCAAGGAGATGTTCGACGCTAGTATCGTCACCGTGTGGTCGGCACCAAATTACTGTTACCGGTGCGGTAACGTCGCTGCCATCCTCGAGCTTGCGGAAGATGACTCTGGCACCGGTGTGTTCGCTCGCAGTAATGGCGATGTAGGCCGCAGCGATGGCGGTATCAAAGGCACCGACGACTATGTGTTGTTACCCGGCCCAGCCAGAAGATACCGCGTTTTTCAGGCCGCGCCGCAGGATTCTAGAGGAATGCCGGCCAAGAAGCCGGTGGCCGATTACTTTTTGTAGTTCATCGAAGAGGTTTCGAATGGCGTCAGGGGGCACGAATGAGATGAATACTAATCTCGAGGATTTTTCCCCCCAAAAGAAAACAGGAGAATTTCAACCATCAGCTGACATCGTGAGCAATGCTTGGGCTGATATATCCCGTGTCTTTTGATGTGTACGTATGTG